GAATATAATGGTCTTAACTCACGTGTTAGGAGGGTCGACCATGACTAATTATGTTAAGGGCCTCTCATGTGTTTTATTTAGGTTGGGTTTAGGATAGAGACTTATGTTTAACCTCCTGTGACTGTGTTTGTACGTGTATGTGTTTTTCATGCTGGTTATGTCACCGAACTATCAGATATTGTTGGTTTTAATTTATTTATGCACACACAAGGCTGTATATTTTGTCAGGGTTAAAAGTTTTACAGTGATATTGACGTTCATGGTAATATATGGCATACTGTTATACACACACAAACACACACACACACACACACACACACACCATTATCTAACATGTTACATTTTTATCCTACCAGCATTATTACACATAGAGTCAAGTTCCCATTACTATGCACTACTACAACATCCTCTGACTTGTGTGTGTGTGTGTGTGTGTGTGTGTGTGTGTGTGTGTGTGTGTGTGTGTGCTTGACATAGATATTAAGTCAATAAATCAATAACACACTTCACGTCACAGTTTATTTTTACCAGTCTCAATTTTTCATCTTTTTTTTTCCAACATAAAAATAAATAATTTCAAAACAATATACAACAAAAATGTGATCCACAGAGCCCGGTCTTTTAGAGATGACCACCAACCCTTTTATAAACTTGAATTGCAAAGCAGAAAAATACATATTTTTAGTTCCGAGCAGAATGTGAGAGCGACCCTGTATAGTCGATGCCTGACACCGCCGCCAGTAGTAGAGGCAACACTCGTGTACCGTCTGATGACTCAACCTGTAAGGACGGAGTGTACAGTTACCCTTACAGCTGTCAACATGTACCTGAATATACATACAAGTGCATACAAATTATACTCGTGTCACTATACAAGTTATGGAGTTTATAGTTCTGTATGTTGACCACCCACTGTACCGGGACGACCATCCACTGTACCGTGACACACTCGGTGTCCTGTAATATCCGTCCGAGCAAAATTTTACATCCTGGGATTAACTTGGATGTCGCCAGTATTACAGAACCTAAATAACAGCAAAATCCTCTTTCGTCTGTCCTAACATTTTTCTGGTCTCAGTTTTGCTGAGAATAAAAGGCGTGGCAGAGTATAAATCACACTATCTACTGTAGTCGCGTTCAGTCCAGAATTTGAACAACATTAATCCCCTCTGAGACTTGACCTCCCCCTCTGGTGTTATTTAATCTAACAGACCAAAAGTTGGGTAAAGGGAATACCCATTGTGAATTGGCCAATTTTGAACGTGAGGCGAAGGTAACTCTATTACGTCAAAGGGGCTTATAATCCTCCCGAGGGAAAACATAATTTGTTTTAAATAGAGGAAGATGAAACTGATACGAGATAGACATGAAAATAATGATGAAATAAAAAACACAGAATAAAAATTAAAAAGTGATAAAATATATATCAGAAATAACTAATCTTTTGTCATTTTCAAGTGCAATAATATGTCACCAGACTGCAGCTCAACATGACCGCTGGTGTTCGTTTGACAACTATTTTAGGATTACCGACTTATGACACGAGAGAGAAACATGATACAATGTAGTCCGTCTAATCCCTACAAGTCTATAAAGGATAAATCAACACAGGAAGAAAACTTTAGACACAAAAACGAGAAGGTTGACAAGAGCTTCACCACAAGGACAGGAGTCACTGCTTCACATAACGTTATTAAACTGTTAGACCTGCAGCCTCTGTGACTCCCCCAAGACATCACCTCTGCCCGGCTAATAATTAAAGTACCACAGTATATACCTTGTGGGGGTAATATTTTCTTGGCAGGACAATTTATATATACAAATGGTGTATTGATGTGTATATTAGATTTATGGCTGTGTTTAGGAGTGAACAATAAAAACAGTTGGGTTTATTTGAAGGTATTACGTTCTCTCTCTCTCTCTCTCTCCTCTCTCTCTAGCCCTATAAATATTTTATATCTCATTTTTATATCCTTTCTAATTTCCTGACAACAACCACACACACACAACACACACACACACATACACACTGTTCAATCATGCAATTCGTCTCACTAACCTCCACAGCTCTCTCCGTTTCCCTCCCCCTCTCACCTCACCCCTCCCCCCACCTTCTCCCTCCCCTCTTCCCTCAATTTCTGTCCACTCATTCCTCTTCCCACACCCAGGGATGTTTGGAGCCAATATCCTTTTCTTTCATCTCCTTTCTTCTACTGAGTCTCTGTCCCGCCTCACAGGCCGTGGTGGAGACAGTAGAATTGCTCTCTGTACAAATGGACGAACTGGAACGATGTCAGGTTACCTTCTGATATCTTCTCTCCCTCTCTTACCCCCCCCTTTTCATTCTTCCTCCTCTTCCTCCTTCCTCCCTCTTCATCTCCTTCTCTCCACACCCTTGTCCCTCATCCTTCTCCTCTCCTCTCCGCCTCTCATATAACAATGATGATGGCGATTAATAATAATAATAATAATAATAATAACGATAACAATTGACGACGATGACGATAATGACAATGACGATGACGATAATGACAATGACGATGATAACGATGAAATAGATAAACTGAGCGATGCTTTGAAAGATATATATATTATTTCAGATAGATTTCAGGAATATAGATATTGTTATAGACAGACAGACACACACACATAAAAGCTTCAGGTATTAAAAAAATATCTTGACCAACACTGTAGTCAGAGCTGCAGAAATAATCCCAACTCAGACGTGGGAGTTTTCAGTGGCTTTGTTCATCTGTGTTTAGAAAGAACTTGGTGTTATTTTTATATCACACGAGATCTGTTTCCTTGTGTGTTTGTTTGTCGTAACTTAAAAAAAAAAAACATTTCCTTTTAGTGTTTGGTGAGTTTTTTTTTTATGTGTTTTGATAAAGATGTGATAAATGGAAATAGATATATGTGAACGAGAAACAGAGAGGAGGGATAGAGAGAGAAATGAAAAATGAGAAAGAGGGAGAGAGACAAAATGAAGAAAGAATAGAGAGATAAATACAATTCAGAGAGAAAGATGAACAGAGAAAGAATAGAAGAAAAGAATGTGAGAATTGAGAGAAAGAGAGAGAGATAGAGAGAGTGGGAGAAGGGGGCGAGGAAGAAGGATACAAACTAAAAGAAATTGTGAGTGAGCAAACAGTAGTGAGCAGCTCAGAAGAAACGAACTAACGAAAGATAGAGAGAGGGTGGTGGTTGTTCTCTCCCTCTTGTTCATCTCTCTCTCTCTTCTTCTCGTTTACCTTCTTCTCTCTCCTCCTCACAGTCCTCTCCCTCCTCCTCACAGTCCTCTCCCTTCTCCTCAACCCCTCCCCCTCACTCCTCTCCTGTCTTTCTCTCCTCTCTCTTCCTCTCCACTCTCCTCCTCTCCTCTCATTAGTGATCAAAAACCTAACCTAACCTAACCTCTCAATGATGACTACGAGACTAGCATCATTAAGTATTATATTGGCAAGATTTAATTTCTTTTTTAATCTACAGTGACTACGAAAATTCATCTACAAACACTTGAATATATTTTTTATTGACTCATCCTTCACTTGACCCAAAAAAATAATTGAGGATAAATCTATATTAATTGTGTAGCCTCAAAGCTCTCCCAGGCGTGAAGACCTACAGTAGGGAGGAAGGCGAGGCGAGGGTCTTTAGTGTAAACATCGTCTCGTCATTCGGTAACTTGTAAAAAAAAAAATGAAAATATTTCCTCGTACTTTCATTCGGTTTTATATTTTAAGAAAGAAATTTAATTAATTTTTTGATGTAAGTGAACTGTCAAACTCGAGAGAGAGAATACCACTAGCTGCTCATTATTGGTGGAGCTTCAGTTCATCAAAACACTGACTTTCCATTGAATATAAGCCTTTAGTTCCAGGGTCCAGAAGGTCGACATTCCCCGCCAGTTTGTAAAGCGTTAAACAAAAACACAGATGAAAACATTCGCTCAGATTTTTTTAGATTCAATTTCGACTTTGTTAGGGACCCAAATCAACAAACTCGAGTATTTGTAGAGAGAGAAATGGCAAAAAAAAATCCGCTTTTCAACATGGAAATAAACGGGAAATATTACATGCAATTAGATTATTGTGAAATAATTTGTTTGGAAGTTACAGGTTGGAATTTATTCTTTGTTTTCTTTTGTTATTTTCTCTATATATTCATGTCTCTTATTACTCTGTTGTATAAATTATTTTCACAGATTAGCATTTATGAAAAACATTATTTATTTACTTTTTTTGTGATTTTGCGATAAAACTTTCCATATCTAGTTACTTTTTTTATTCTGTTAACATATTATTATTAATATTGTTGTTATTGTTATTACTGCTATTGTTATTATTATTGTTATGGTTATTATCATTGTTATTATTATGATATTCCTGTAAATAGAAAGCGACATAGAAGGTTAGGAGGACATAGACGTATTTACTAGAGATAAAGAGATGCATTGAAAGGTGATAGAAAGGTAGGTCGACAGGTAGACAGGTAGATATATATAGAGGCGAACACAGTGAGAGAGGAGAATAGATCAGATGACGACAACAAACACATTCACCGTAAATTAAATATTTTCTCAGTGTATAAAATGTGATCATAAACTCAAACAGAAACTTAACCAGCGAATGATTTGCCCACCAGCGAGTTTCAGGGCGGCCCACCAGCAGGTTTCAGGGCGGTCCATCAGCGAGTTTCATGGCAGCCCACCAGCGAGTTTCAGGGCAGCCTGGCGAGTTTCAGAACTTACTGTGGGGTCAGAGCCACCATGCAGATTTCAGGGCAGCCCACCAGCAAATTTCAGGGCAGCCTGTGGTTTCAGGGCGACCTGGGGCAACCTGTGAAATCTCGGGGAAGGCACCGTGCAAGTTTCAGGGCCACCAGCAAGTTTCAGGGCACCAGCAGGTTTCAGGGTGGCCCACCAGCAAGTTTCAGGGCAGCCCACCAGCAGGTTTCAGGGCGGCTCATCAGCGAGTTTCAGGGCGGCCCACCAGCGAGTTTCAGAGCGGCCCACCAGCAGGTCTCAGGGCGACCCACCAGCGAGTTTCAGGGCGGCCCACCAGCAGGTCTCAGGGCGGACCACCAGCGAATTTCAGGGCGGCCCACCAGCAAGTTTCAGAGTGGGCCACCAGCAGGTTTGGAGGCGGTGTACTTGTTGATCAAAGTTACTCTGATGTTCTGGGCCAAAATATATTCTCTCCAAACTCATCGCCGACCACACTCCTTTGGTTTGGTTAGGTTAGGTTGGGTTAGGTTGGGTTAGGTTGGGTTGGGTTAGGTTAGGTTAGGTTAGGTTAGGTTAGGTTGGGTTAGGTTAGGTTGGGTTAGGATGGGTTCTGGGTACAAAGCCCGGATTCATGAACAACATTAAGCACTCGTGAAGCAATATTTTTAACCAATGATATTACAGTAATTCAATTATCCTAATGACCAATAAGATCACAGGAGCATTTAACGTGACTATTGTCGTCCATATTACCTTATTAAACTCTTATAATTAAATTCACTTAGTGTCAAATTTAACTCATTCAAGACTTATATCCCTGTTGCTCTCAAGATCACATGACCAATGAGAGAGTTATACATTATTTTGTCCAATAATCCAGATCAGGGAACAATATGGTCACCAGATAGGTTTAATCCCCTGATGGAATCTAAGTTACACACACACACACACACACACACACACACACACACACACACACACACACACACACACACACAGACACACACACACACACATACACACACACACACACACACACACACACACACACACACACACACACACACACACACACACACACACACCACCAGTTTGTGCAGGTTTAGACAAAAATAAAACTGAAAACATTCGGTTATATTTTTTTCAGATTCAATTTCGACTTAGTCAGGGATTCAACTCAACGAAACTCGAATATTTATAGAGATATGAAAAAAATGAATCCAGTCTTCAACACGGAAATAAAGGAGAAGTTTATTGGTGTTATAGAGTGTTGTGTACAAGTCAATGGTTGATTTATTTACAGAGTTATGATTTTATTTTGTAACTTCTGTTATTTTTGTTAACTTTATTTTGTAACTTCTGTTGTTTTTGTTGATTTCTTTATGACAAAAACCATCAATTAATATTCTCGTTTATTATACAATCATCAAGGTTAAAACAAAGAGCCGTATATTTTGTTTCTTTCATATAGTGTAAATTATTATTATTATTATTATTATTATTATTAATGTTGTTGTTGTTGTTATAAGGAATGAAGTCGTGTCCATTAAATAGATACACACATTATATATATATACGGACAAGTTATCCCTTCATCTTAACATTCTCCGAACTGTTGTAGACCAAAGGCGAACATTCCCCCAGAAACAGAATTCCTGATATAACATTATTAATAAACTAAGTAACATGGCGAGGGAGAGATACTTGTTGGTGTGACTTCCCTGCAAGTAACTATCCGTAGCACGTCCACCCCCCTCCCTCCTCCTCACTGTTCCTTTACTGCCCTGGAAGGTATGTGAGAGATTACCCTTCGCAAAGTCCCTCCCGTTAGTGCCCTTCGCTTAGTGCCCTTCGCTTAGTGCCCTTCGTTTAGTGCCCTTCGCTTAGTGCCCTTCGCTTAGTGCCCTTCAGCCTCTCGTTAGTGCCCTTCGCTTAGTGCCCTTCGTTTAGTGCCCTTCGCTTAGTGCCCTTCGCTTAGTGCCCTTCGCTTAATGTACAATGTGGCTATTTGCCTGGTTGGGCGTGATGCTGGCAGGAACACTTGACCATATGTGTCGAGATAATTTATATCATGTTAATTATGAGGATAAAATTAATGTTATTTTACTTGTGATATTTTTTGGTATAATACAACTTGTTCTTGATAATGTTGTTGTTGTTTGTAATGATGGTAGTATTGGTGGTAGTGTTATTCTCTATTCTCTCTCACAGTTCTGTATTCTCTTTCACTTTGTATTCTCTCTCTCAGTTTTATTTTTTGCCTATCACCTCCAGTCTCTGTCAATTCACTACATTCGGTCAGTTCTGTATTTTTTCCCGTGAGCTGTGAATCCCTCGAGCTGTCATTCTAAACCAATTCCTTTGTATCGTAAACTATTCACATCCTCCCCCGTCCACCTCACAGACACAAACGTTTATAGAATGAACCTTTACCGTAACTGAAGAAGATGTTAAAAATATACCTAACTGTTTGATCTTAGTTAAAACACATAATTGACGCCCAAAAGTACCATTGAAAATATCAGAAATTGTAAGTTAACTGTAAACGGTCAGTTAGCACCAGTTAGATAGTTTGGAATAGATATGTACAGTCAATCAAAAAACTATCTTTACAAAATTGTGTTGAAAAAATATGACAGAATGAACGAAGGATTTTGACAACCCTACCGAGACAACAGGATTCATAGTGTTCATTCTGGAATTCATCGATCACCCCAAGTACAGATAGTTCTTTGGGTGACTGTAAAGTATATATTGATATTGTCTCCTAATTAGTTTAATGGGTTATAGTCACATGTTCAAACAAAGTGCAGAAAATGGCCACCAACCTGACTAATGTAGATCTGAGTTTAGTGATCAGAATATTAACACATCATTTTAACATAATATTTGTAACTGAACCAATTTAGTGTTTTCTTATCTACCAGGAACAGACATCGTATGAACCTTTGTGAACCCGGATAACATAAGCCTTTACTTGATGAACCTTTGTGTCTTCTTCGCTAATTTCTCAGTATTGTTATTATTATATAGAAAGATGTACAGTGAAACCTCCATATAATGGACTTTCATCTCCATATAGTCCGTTAGATGGGAGGTTTCACAACTAATGAAACCTCGAGATAACACACTTTCATATATATATATATATATATATATATATATATATATATATATATATATATATATATATATATATATAAAATATGCACTTCGCTAGATGGAGGTTTTACACCCAATGAACCCTTGACATAATGGAATTCTCTCTCCATATAGTCCGTTAAATAGAGGTTTCCTGTAAACTGTGGTGTTTTTATTAATTTACAAATAAAATTTAAGTATATACGCATGCACTGTCACACACACACACACACACACACACACACACACACACACACACACACACACACACACACACACACTGAAAGCAGGTGACTCGAGCGAATTCCAGAGCTCAGCGGTGAATTGAGGTGAAGTAAAAGCTTTCTCTAGCCACGGGTCGGGAGGTCGTGTTTGCTTTCAATCTATTTTGTGATTTCAGTTTCAAATCAGTTGAAGTGCGTGTGTGTGTGTGTGTGTGTAGTGCCTCCGAGACAAGGCCTTGACAGACATTCAAAAACAGTCTTTACGTACATTATTACATCGGAATTTCTGGATTATTTCCTGGTATTTGATATTAAATAATGCGATAAGATTTTTTTAGTGGGTTTTCAAACGTGAAAAATCTGCGAAGGTAAAACAAGTTGTTGAGGGAGGCTGAGTGGTTAATGTTGTCGTGGGATTATAGGTGAATGTGTGGCCTAGTTGTGATGGTGGTGAGGTGATGGCAGGGGAATACCTGAGGGACGCCTCACACAGGTAAGTGTAGCGTGTCGGAGGGGAGAGTCATTAATTATGCACCTGTGCCTCAGGTGAGCACTTCGCAGCCCACGCAGCTGCACAACTGGGAATTAAACCCTGAGTGTCACCTTTCCGGAAACGATGCACATGCGGGCCACGTTTAAGGGAACACGTGTGTAGTTGTTATACTGTATGTTGCGGTGATAATAAGGCACTGATCATTATGTAAATTGAGGTGTTATAAACTTTGTTAATAAAACTTTGGGAACCAAATTATTTTCACTAAAAACAATAGTTAACAAGTATCTGCCCCCCCACACATGCAACGGGTTAACTGTACACATTTTTACTCTGGCACAGTTGGTAACACAAGTCAGCACACTACACTACGCCATAATGTTCTACGCCGGAAACTTAATACCTCTGGCCTGTGACACAATCGTTCCGTCACTGTGCTTAAGACCGTGATGCCAGCGATACCTGCAATAAGGTGGCGTGGCTGCCTGCTCTCCTTCTCACCATATTTACCTTTTTCCTCTTAACTTACTGCTACCAGTCTCATATCTCCTACCTCTCCCCAACCTTTACCCTATCCTACCCTCTCCCTTCCATGCACCCTATCCCACATTCCCACACCCTTTAATGCCTCCCTCACCTCCCTACCTTTCCTCCTCCTCCCCCTCTCACACCTACAGCTGCGACACAAAACTTTTCTTTATTGCCTGAGTTTCTCACTGGCTCACGGCTCCACACTGGTGAGAACTGACAAGTTGTGTAATACACCGACTTGGAAAAGAATCTCGTAAAATCTTCAAAGACCGGCAATTTTCACCCCGCTATTTCCCTCTCAACTTGGGCACATTTTCTCACCTCTAGACCACGATGGTGTGTAGAGGAGCCCAACAGTACAATAAATATAATAATAATAACGAAAACTGCTTACTAATGAGCTGAACAAAGAGCAATTTCACTCCAAAACCTGACAATGTCTTAAAGATGTGTTCATAAGTTCTCTCCTCACCGACACAAAGCCACGTTCTCACCTTCATGTTCCCCCGAGACTAAGAAACAAAAGACTAAGAAAAGTCGCCGTTCAACAAGACACTCGGAATCAGAATAATGGTGAGAACACAGAGGGAGGAAATTTCAGAATGAGGAAAAAAGGAACAGGTGGGATGAGAGACGGAGGTAAGGGCCTGGTAGGAAAGGGTAGACAGCGTATAAAAAAAAGGTGTATGAGCCGTGTAAGAAGATTTGACAGAGCAGAAGAAGCGGTGAGGGAGCTGAAATATTATATAGGATCAAAAAGAATGGGACGGAGGAAGGTGTTGAAGGGGTGGTAAGGTCAGAGGAGCTGGTCTGATACTTGTGGTTACTTTGTTTCCTCAGTGGTCAGGGAGGGAGGCAATCCACCGTAACTAGAGACATGAAGCACGTGAGACAAGAAGTGGGTTTTATCTCTCTCTCTCTCTCTCTCTCTCTCCCTTCTGAGTGAACCATTGCCTAACCACCCTTATAGAGATTCAACTTCGTGACCTTGAAAATTAGAAGCCAACAGAGAACTAAAAAATACCGGCGCAACTCACACACAAAAACCGTGTAATGGTTCTTGAAGAGTCAAGTTTGAAGGAGGGAGGGGAGGAGAAAGAGGAAAAAGAGAAGAAGAAGGGACGGGGTGAAGAGGGAAGGGGGAGAGGAAGGAAGGGGGAAGAGCATCGTGCAAGAAAAAAGATTAGAGTTATAAAAGAGGATCAGAAACTTCTTAGAGAAAAACGGGCAAATCCCAGAACATAATCCTTCAAGAGGGCACCTGAGACCTAGCGTGGCCAGGTGGTGCTCTCAGGGCGGGATGTACTGTACTTAACGCTGAGTGTACCGCCGAGTGTGTTGGGTGAGGGGAGGTGTAGTTAGAAGTTAGGCAGGTGGAGGTGTAGTTAAATATGTTGGATAGGCTGGGATATACTAACGTGTATTGTGTAGACTATGCTAACATGTGAGTACATGTGAACCCTGTAGTGAGACACAACACAGTGTGATGATGTAGTCGAGAACACTGAGACCAGTAGTGATCTTAACGTTTATGGACCATCTCCGCGGCTGAACACACGAGAGGTACGAGAGGCACGAGAGCACGAGAGGCACGAGAGGCACTAGAAGCACGAGAGGTACGAGAGGCACTAGAAGCACGAGAGGCCCTAGAGGCAGGCACTAGAGGTAGGCAGTCACATTGTTCAGTGCCTTAGTGACCGCCACCAGGAACTACCTCTTTATGATAAACTTTTGCTTGGTCCAGGTAGTGACTTGGTGACCTGGTGCAGGTGGTGACTTGGTGACCTGGTGCAGGTAGTCACTTGGTGACCTGGTCCAGGTGGTGACTTGGTGACCTGGTGCAGGTAGTCACTTGGTGACCTGGTGCAGGTAGTCACTTGGTGACCTGGTGCAGGTAGTCACTTGGTGACCTGGTGCAGGTAGTCACTTGGTGACCTGGTGCAGGTAGTCACTTGGTGACCTGGTGCAGGTAGTCACTTGGTGACCTGGTGCAGGTGGTCACTTGGTGACCTGGTCCAGGTAGTCACTTGGTGACCTGGTGCAGGTAGTCACTTGGTGACCTGGTGTTAGGCATCTCTCCCTACCTGAACCCAAACTTAATTAATTGACTCCTTCTCAACAGAACCTGAACCCCAATAATAAACGTGTGGCCTCGAAAGTTCTTGAACAAAAATCCGAGACCATGGATGTTCCGAGACCGAGAAAAAGTTATCGAAACCTACATCAGTAATACAGTGTAAGGAGAGGTGTACCTAGCTCAAATTATACTGATGTATACTATACTTAACAGTGATGCTATGAGAAACAAGGCTGAGAAATGTGTGTGTGTGTGTGTCTGTGTGTTATTCCTCAGCGACCTGTGGTGTAATGGTGTAATGGTCAGCATGCTCGCCTCGCAAGCGAGCGGACCCGGGTTCGATCCCCGGGCAGGGTGAAACTATGGACAAGTTTCTTGACACCATTTGCCTCTGTCTACCCAGCAGTAATTGGGGACCTGGATGTAGTCGATTTGCGGATCGTGTTCCGGGGTAATGGTTAGCCAATGCAGTTGGCGAATTGTCCGGTCTTCTCGGACTATTCCTTGACACTGGGTCATGAAACTTAGGGTGTGGTTGTTGTGTTGGCGACAGCTTCTACACCTTAAACAAATTCACGCCTAGGTGGCCCTTGGGCCCGGACAACCATTATTATTATTATTATTATTATTATTATTATTATTACTATTATTAGTAGTATTATTATTATTATTATTATTATTATTATTGTTATTATTATTATTGTTATTAATATTATTATTATAGTTGTAAATATTATTTAAGTAATGTTCAATTACATTATTGCGACTGACGTTACTTAGCACTAGGTCGTACGCCTGACAATAAAGTTGTGCTCACTTCGGTAATAAGGCCGCTTTTTGATGCCAGTAGGCTGAGTAAAAATGTCGTACAGCTCTTTATGGCCGTCACAACTGGTGTACGTTCCTGGCGTGTTGAGAGCTTGGTATATGTGAGTATGACATATATAAATGTGTGTGGGTGATCCGCCATATATGTACCAGGACAATAATATTAAATCGGCTTAATAACTACCGTCACCATGGCGAGGCGCGACTCTCCAGTATAACAGCGACCCGGTCAGCAGCGAGTGTAGCAGCCAGCAGTCACTTGTTATTATGGTAGAGGAGGAGGGAGTGTTAATGTTGGGGGTGGAGTGATGTTGGTGGTGGAGTAATGTTGGTGGTGGAGTAATGTTGGTGGTCGAGTAATGTTGGTGGTGGAGTAATGTTGGTGGTGGAGTAATGTTGTTGGTGGAGTAATGTGTACAGTTCATCAGTTCATCAGGTCACCCCACACACCAGTAGCCTCGGGAAGGGTAAAACTAAGGACAAGTTTCTCTATGTTATTTGCCTCTGTCTGTCCTGCAGGAATTGGAAACCTGGATGTTTATCGATCTGTAAATTTTATTCCAGAACAGTGAGTGGTTAGCCAGTGCAGTTGGCGAGTTGCCCGGTCTTCTCGAATTATTCCTTGACACTGGGTCATACAACTCGTTAGTTCAGGGTGTCGTTGTTGTGTTGGCGACAGCTTCTACACCTTAACCAAATTCACTCCAAGGTGGCTCTAGGGCCGGCTAACGCGAGGGGCAACCATTATATCAAGTGTGTGTGTGTGTGTAAAAACATAGAGAAAATCGCGCTCACAAATACTAGACGCTCAGAGACGGAAAGAAAGGTGAACAGAGAGAAAGAGAGAGCGTGGAGAAAGAGAAAGAAAATCAATGAGAGAGAGCTCGAAAACGCGAGAGAGAGAGAGAGAGAGGCCAGGTGAGATGTGTGGAGATTTACGAGGGCCGGGAGGTTAGGTGCAGGTGTGGGTGGTCTTGCTGAAAAGCGTACCCAGAGCCTCACCGATGGCTTGTGGGAGAAGACTGGTGGCTCACGAGGCGAGTGCAGTGTAGTATCTGGTGTGTGTGTGTATAGAGAATCTGTGTGTGTGTGTGTGTGTGTGTGTATAAAGAGGACAGTGAAGGAGAGAAACAGAGAGACAAATTCAAAAAGAAATGAGAGGCGCTTGGAGTACTTTCTACGGTGAGGAGGGGGAAGGGGGGGGAGAAGAACGATATGAAGAGAATTAAAGCGTATAACATCAGCTGGAAGAATTTTGGGGCAGAAGAAATTTCCCCCGAGGGTACTAAGGGGAAAACAATTGCACCTTGAAGCTGAGGAGGAAATAAAATGTTCTGGTAAGGTCACAGCAGCACAAGAAGGTAAGGCCGGGGTGTGTAACGCAGCGTTGTAGTGTGTGACGAAGTAGTGGAGAAAACGGCAGATCTTGTAGTTAACGCTCGTCTAGTTCATTAACAATAGTAGACACGAATTATGGTCAGGATTTGACTTGGTAACACATAAATACGCACACAGATATATACATACATACATACATACATACATATATACATACATACATACATACATACATACACGGACGCACACGCACACTACTTCATGAGTGTGGCAGTAATCACATCGGTAACATACAGTGTGTCCTGGGCGTCATTTATCAAACAACATAATTACTTGTCGCTCTTGGGATTCAGCAATAATCATTTCCTTGTCTAGTAAAAACAAATAATAATATTACATGAAATATTTCCACGCCATTTTACCCGGACCAGGAAACACAAAAATCTCTAACATAAACACAGCAACACAAGTTAAAATTATATCCTCCTTCTCTGGGTCGTGATAAGTCAAAATCTTATATATTTTTTTTTTTTTCATAGACGAGAAATTATCCGAGGAATGACAGTTTGTTAGACTTGCAAATAAACTTTTAGGTTCTGTTATTAATTCAGTTTCCCAATCAGAGAAACAGTTCCTCGAGGCAAGTCAGAAACAGTCTTGTAAGAAGATAATTTATGATCGGCAACACAGCCAAATTCTTACAAGTTTTCCATAAGTCTTACACGAACTCAGTAATGTGTATTTTGTCGACGTGAATCATGCAACACAACTTTATAAAGAGAGTTTATTGAGTGACTGTACAAGACTAAATAAAAGATCCTGTATATAATGTCTTTTCTACACAAATATCCTAAGCCATGAGAGAAAGAACTAACTAACAAAGTCCAGATCATATTTCCAAAACGATTCAGGAATGTTGATTTTGGCCGCTAAGTAAATAATACAATTTCCTGCAGCTTTCAACATCTCGACTTCAATAAAACTTGAAAACATACTGGGGACGAGATTCATGATGATAGTATAGCAAACACTGTGTTGTATATATGTTATGGCCAAGTAATATAATCAGTCATTTCACTCAGGTTAGGTTAAGTTAGGTGAGCTGAGCTGAGGTGAGGTGAGCTGAGAGAGGCAGTGGCAGCCCCTCCCCCTCCCCCCTCCACAACCCAGACCAACAGCCCACAACCCAGACCAACAGCCCACAACCCAGACCAACGCAGCCCCACAACCCAGACCAACAGCCACAACCCAGACCAGCAGCCCCTGGCAGACCAGCAGTCCACTGGCCCAGGGCCAACAGCCCACAACTCCAGACCAACAGCCCACAGCCCAGACCAACAGCCCACAACCCAGACCAACAGCCCCACAACCCAGGCCAACAGCCCACAGCCAGACCAGCAGCCACAACCCCAGACCAACAGCCACAACCCCAGACCAGCAGCCCCAGCCCAGACCAACAGCCCACAACCCAGACCAACAGCCCCTGGCAACTAGACCAACAGCCCACAACCCAGACCAACAGCCCACAACCCAGACCCGCGTATATGTATGTGGCTCAAAATTAATCAGATGTGCGAAGGCATTTTTTTCATTTTGACTGCCGTCTGTCCCTGCTGCCTCAGTAATGCTCACATGGCCCGGGTAAAACGCTCAAAATGCTCACATAACTGGGTAAAATGCTCAAATGCTCACATGGCTGGGTAAAACAGCTCAAATACTCCACATGGCTGGGTGGAAATGCTCCAAAATAACTCATGTGGCTGGGTAAAACGCTCAAATGCTCACATGGCACAGGTAAAACTCTCCAAATGCTCACATAGCCGGGGTAAACGCTCAAATGCTCACATGGCCGGGTAAAACGCTCAAAATGCTCACATGGCCGGGTAAAACGCTCAAAATGCTCACATGGCCGGGTAAAACGCTCAAAATGCTCACATGGCTGGGTAAAACGCTCAAAATGCTCACATGGCTGGGTAAAACGCTCAAAATGCTCACATGGCCGGGTAAAACGCTCGTCATATGTTCTGGAAATTAAAGTGTCAAAGAAGTTTATTCGTTCAAGATACAATGAGGAGATTAGAACACTCGGTGCCATGTTAATGTTTTCTGATTGTATGAGAGAGATAATGGGTGTTTGTGTGACTGTCTTGTTCCGGGTAGACAAATTTGATATATATTATTGTTTTTTTAAGTTTTTTACAGATAGTCTTTGCAGGTTCATAGCTCTCGTAAACGATCATTATTTATTAGTTTTTGTTTTTATAAATATTTAAAGCAGTGGTTTTTTTTATATAGAATGATGTGAGTATATTTATAAAAGGATTTTTTCCGACCTATGGCTTTTCCAGTTCCGGTTTTATAGGTATTAAATGTTTTTCCTTAGAGAGTGATAAGAGAATAATCATATAGTAAGATATTTCCCCAGCCTCTTGTTTCCCCAGACAACAGTGGACCTATAACTAATTCAAAAATAATCAAAGAAAACAGTTCCACTTATTTCCCCTTCCTGCCTTAACATGACTGAGTGAACTTCGTCTTCCTCCTCCTCCTCAGTCATCCAGCTCTACTCTTGTCATACCTCACCTTCAATTTTCACATCACACTTTTAAAATGTATCGCCTCGCTTCCTGCTGCCTGCTAGTACGTCAAGAGGTAGATGGGCAGATTTTTTTTAGCAATATTTTACACCGTTTTTGCTTATATATTTTTCATACACTTTATTTCAGCTCATAATAACAATAAAGGCATTAGATTAATACAAGACTTCACTAACCTAACCTCCCTCCTCCCCGTCCTTTACAAACTACTGACAATCACGGTCACAGCTCCCTCCCTCGGTCATAGCTCCCTCCCTCGGTCATAGCTCCCTCCCTAGGTCACAGCTCCCTCCCTCGGTCACAGCTCCCTCCCTCGGTCACAGCTCCCTCTCTTGGTCACAGCTCCCTCCCTCGGTCACAGCTCCCTCTCTTGGTCCCAGCTCCCTCCCTAGGTCACAGCTCCCTCTCTTGGTCCCAGCTCCCTCCCTAGGTCACAGCTCCCTCTCTTGGTCCAGCTCCCTCTCTTGGTCCCAGCTCCCTCACTCGGTCACAGCTCCCTCTCTTGGTCCCAGCTCCCTCCCTCGGTCATAGCTCCCTCCCTAGGTCACAGCTCCCTCTCTTGGTCCCAGCTCCCTCACTCGGTCACAGCTCCCTCTCTTGGTCCCAGCTCCCTCCCGCAGTCACAGCTCCTCTCTTGGTCACAGCTCCCTCTCTTGGTCGCAGCTCCCTCCTAGGTCCCAGCTCCCTCCCTCGGTCATAGCTCCCTCCCTAGGTCACAGCTCCCTCTCTTGGTCCCAGCTCCCTCACTCGGTCACAGCTCCCTCTCTTGGTCCCAGCTCCCTCCCTCGGTCATAGCTCCCTCCCTAGGTCACAGCTCCCTCTCTTGGTCCCAGCTCCCTCACTCGGTCACAGCTCCCTCTCTTGGTCCCAGCTCCCTCCCTCGGTCACAGCTCCTTCGGTCACAGCATGGTTTTGTGTTCCAGTTTGGTTGTTCCAGTATGGTTTTGTGATATATGTGCCTGACAAAGTCGCGAGTGGCTTTCTGTAATTAAAACCTGCGACCAATAATCAATGGCTGGGACAGAGAACAAGTGTAGGATATCTTTGTATTGTTGACTTCTTTTCATTTGACTAATTTTAACATTTTTCGAGTATTATAAATTATGCGCTGTAATATTTTTTTTCTAATCATCTTAGAAAAAATTATTGAACTTTTATTTTTTCTGTTATGTAAAATCTTTATATAGTATTTTTATATTATTATCGAGTTGTATTGTTACACTCACGTCAGCCAGAGATCTTACAGGAGCCTTCACGCCAGAAACTAATACTGCGTCTCCTCTCTCGTATAATTTGCCAGCACCTCATATTAAGCTGCAGGACTGGGAGGGTGACGACACGTTTATTCGCCTCTCGAGAGCAAATCAGTAGATTATTTACTCTGGAGCCGCGAGCACCACGAGTCTGTGTGTTAAGAGAAGTTTGTGGAGCGTTAATTAATGCGTCCTGTACTGTGTTGCTTTTGTGCCTCCCACAACTGCCTACCAGGGTGAGTGTCACTGCCCTTGACACTGTCTGCGTATGTCACTTCCTCGACATTGTCAGGGCGATTATCCCCGTCCCGACTATATAAAAGTGATCATCGCCTCTTATCATTGCCCATAGTGACCGTCACTGTTCCGACACTGTCAGGAATGAGTGTTACTGCCCCAACACTGTCGGGGTGAGCGCCACTGCCCCAGAACTATGAGGGTAAGTGTCACTGCCTGAACACTGTTGGAGTGTCACTGCCAGGCCAACAGTGCCTAGGCCGAGGAAGTAACAAAAGGCCACTATCTCTTAGCGGCCGCCATAAGTCAGGCTCTTAGGGCTTTGCTGTACCCTGGCGCGCTCACACTGGCCAGCACAGCGGTCACCTCTCACCACAGTCATTGCTGTTCACTGCTGCACACGAAGACGTACAATGGTAACTGCTGCATATGACGACGTAAGGGAGAAACCTGCAACACACGGCGACTGAAGACGGGGAAGCCTACAGAACATGACGGCATAGGACGAAAATCCGCTACAAACGGCGACGTATGGCGGAAACCTCCTTCACAAGACGGTCTATGACGGAAACCTGCACACACCGACGTACGGAGGAAAACTACTGCATGGTGACGTACGGAGGAAAACTACTGCATGGTGACGTACGGAGGAAAACTACTGCATGGTGACATACGGAGGAAAACTACTGCATGGTGACGTACGGAGGAAAACTACTGCATGGTGACGTACGGAGGAAAACTACTGCATGGTGACGTACGGAGGAAAACTACTGCATGGTGACGTACGGAGGAAAACTACTGCATGGTGACGTACGGAGGAAAACTACTGCATGGTGACGTACGGAGGAAAACTACTGCATGGTGACGTACGGAGGAAAACTACTGCATGGTGACGTACGGAGGAAAACCACGTACAGGACGCATGGAGGAAAACCACTGCATGGTGACGTACGGAGAAACTACTGCATGGTGACGTACGAGGAAAACTACTGCATGGTGACGTACGGAGGAAAATCATCGCATGGTGACATACGGAGAAAACCACCGTATGGTGACGTACGGTGGAGGAAAACTACTGCATGGTGACGTACGGAGGAAAGCTACTGCATGGTGACGTACGGAGGAAAACTACTGGATGGTGACGTACGGAGGAAAACTACTGCATGGTGACGTACGGAGGAAAACTACTGCATGGTGACGTACGGAGGAAAACTACTGCATGGTGACGTACGGAGGAAATATTAACACACGTCAGTTACCCTCTGTACTCTCATGCATTCAAAGTCGTAAACCTGTAGTAATGTCTCACCATGATGTGTTATGTTAATGTGTGTCTGTGATGTGTTAATGTGTGTCCGTGATGTGTTAATGTGTGTCTGTGATGTGTT